AGGGGCAGCCAACTGACTGGCCTAGCACCCTAACTTCCCCCCACAGCAGGGCAAGCCAGAGCTTGCAACTCCAGCCCCATGGGGGGGTCGCTGATGCTCAGGGCTCCCGGCCCACAGTGCAGAGACTTGTCATGGGCCGGATTAAATTAAGCAGGGGGCCGGATCTGGCTCACGAGCCAGAGGTTCCCCACCCCAGTTCTAGATCAATCCTGCTTCATTTGTGCGATCTAAAAAGATACAGCCCAAGCCAGTACACCTGGAGATGCTAGGGAGAGTAAAGACTGCAAACAAAATAGCAGATCCGTTGAGTGAGATTGTGTAGTATTGCACCCATCTGCGATCAGGATCTAGCCCTGGCTAGAGGCATAAGAAATATGTAACCAGCCAAAGCTTTTCTAAACGCGTGCAGAACACCTTTTGGAATGTGACACAATCAGCATCTTTGGCCTCACTGTAACCATCCTTTAAGAATGGAGCAGGGGAAGGGAACGTTGACCCCAGAGAACAAGATGCGTCTTGACCCTCTTTTAGGAGGTAGCTGTTTGTGCTGATATCTCCTCCCTGAGTCTGTTCTCCCAGGCATGGAGTTTAGAGACTGACTATGGAATTCCTCATTCTCTCCTCACTGAGCAGAAGTCAGTGACGTGACTCCCAGGACTCCCCCAACTGTACACGAAATAACTTGTCACACACAGCCCCAGGATGGAATATAAGGCACATTTTTATTTTAACATGTCTCCCTTTCCAGCCCACACAGCAGCTCTGTATCTCGGTAAGGTGCTCCCTGGCAATGATGGCCACGTGACAGTCGCTGCACTTCTGTTGGTTTAGGCCTGAGTCCCAGCCAGTGGAGACTCCCCGAGCTCTAGGAGCCTCTACCCGCCAGTCAGAGCGCCACAGTTTTGAGCAGGCTTCTCTGCAAGTTCTCACCAGGCGGCACAGCTGAGCATTCAGAGTTTTCAATTGCTCTGCCACAGCAGGACCAGTGGGGACAGCCGGGGTGACCTTTGTGACCATGACCACAGCCTTGGTACCCACCTACCCGTCACAAGGATAGAGGAGAAACACCATTAGCATTGCTGAAAATAGCATAGAGACAGTTCCAGCTTCTAGTGACTTCCTGAGTGTGCCCCCAGCCGGCTGACCAGCCGGAGAGAGCCCTGTTGAGAGGGCATGGCACACACAATGAGGTACTCCTGCTTTGGGCTGGCAGGGCCAGAATCCTTCAGCCAAACAGGGACAAAACACGTGTTGACCCCCTTAGTAATCCCCAACAAAAAGCTATTAATAGATTCATGGAGTCCAAGGCCAGAAGGGACCATTGTGATCATCTAGTCTGACCTCCTGTATAACACAGGCCATGGAACTGCCCCCAAATAATTCCTAGAGCAGATTTTCTTGATGTAAAAATTGCTATTGATGGAGAATCCACCATGGCCCTTGTAAACTATTCCAGTGGTTTATTACTCCTGTAATTAAAGGGAAATTTTTAAAAATATTTTTATGAGGCCTATGTATGCCTCAGTTTCCCCCCATATGTTGCATTGCTACCCACTTGGGGGGTGGGAGGGAGAGGATGAAGTTTGTTTTCAGGGCAGATTAAGAGACAAAGGCGTGTGTGTCACCTCCCTGTCCGGGTGGAATGAATAGAGCAGCGGTTCTCAAACGTCATTGCAGTGCGACCCCCTTCTGACAACAAAAATTACTACACCACCCCAGGAGGGGGGGGACTGAAACCTGAGCCTGCCTGAGTCCCATTGCCCCAGGTGAGGGGGACGAAGCCCAAGGGTTTCAGCCCGGGTGGGGGGCCTATAACCTGAGCCCCACCGCCCTGGGCAGTGGGTCGTGGGCTTTGGCCCTGGGCGGTGGGTCGTGGGCTTTGGCCCTGGGCAGTGGGGCTCAGGCTTCAGTCCCGGGCCCCAGCAAGTCTAACACCAGCCCTGGTGACCTCATTAAAACAGATTCCAGACCCACTTTGGGGTCCCGACCCACAGTTTGAGAACTGCTGGAATAGATTTCAGTGGTAGCCGTGTTAGTCTGTATCAGCAAAAAAAACGAGGAGTCCTTGTGGCACCTTAGAGACTAACAAATTTATTTGGGCATAAGCTTTCGTGGGCTACAGCTCACTTCTTCGGATGTATGAAGTAAAAAATACAGGAGCAGGTATAAATACATGAAAGGATGTGGGTTGCTTTACCAAGTGTTAAAAGAACAGGAGTACTTGTGTTGTGTACTCCTGTTCTTTTTATGGATACAGACTAACACGGCTGCTACTCTGAAACCTTTACCAAGTGTTAAATCAGTCTAATGAAATAAATCAATTAACAGCAGGATACCAAGAGTCATTAAGGCACTGGCTGAAACCGATCAGATCAGATCAACGAGGCGTCTAGAGAGACAATGCACGCTCCAGTGACTCATGATTTGACACTCAACAGCAGGAAGCTCTGGCCAGGAAGGCTGTGGCCCTGCCTGGAGAACAAAGGACAGATGTGTCCAGCAGGAATAAAGAGCTAGCTTCTGGAAGAGGCTGGGACTCTACTGGAACTGACTGAGGAAGTGAGAGCGAGAGCGAGAGCCTGGAAATGGAGTTCACTACAGGTTGGTTGGTCAATTGCTCTGGCTTGACCTGAATGGATTATGCTTTAAACTTTATTGCTCCGTGCTAACCTAAGGACTTCCAGTGCTTTGTTCCAGCTGACTAATAAATCCTATTCTGCTTTGAAAACGCTGTTTGGGGTGTGACTGCAAATACTGGCTGTGGTGCATTAGTCCCTGAAGTGTGTACCAGTCTTTTCCAGGAGTCTATCTCAGCTGGACTTGCTGAGCAGAGCAAGAGGGAGTGAAGATGTGAGTGAAGTGAAGAGGGAGCGCTGGAGCCTGTAGAACCGTGATGACATCCACTGTTAAGAAACGTACACCTTCTTGTTCATGCTCTTCGCACTGCCTGCGATGTATCACGAATCTTAGCTCTGCTGAATCCCACCGTGCCAGCCTGTACCACCCCCTGGACCTCGCGGACAGGGAGTGTGCTCCTGCCAGAGCTGTCTACATGTCAAGTATGGGGGATGGAAGAAGTCATTTCTACTTTTACAACAGGCAAACCTTACAAAGACAAACATGAGTCTTGTGCAGGGCCATGGAAACCAGCGCTGATTAAATGAGTGACCAAGCTGAACTCTGAAAGAATGTTCTCAAGAGGCCCCAGGGATCATGTATAGAGCTAGAGCTCAGAGCGTTCCAGCCCCACAAGGTCAAGAGTGTGTGTGCCGTGGCTGAAGTGGGCCCATAGTGATTATAAACACAGTGCTACGTGAGAGGGGAGGGGATGTGATAAATGCTCTTGGCTCAAACAGTTTTGGGAGAGCTGTTTTGATTTCAGTGGGAGTTAGGCACCAGAATACCTTTGAGTATCTACATGGGGAACAAATATTCAAAAATGGACTCTTCAGCCTATCAGAGAAAAGTATAACATGGTCCAGTGGCTGGAAGCTGACGCTAGACAAATTCAGATAGAAAATATAGCATACATTTGGAACAACTGTCATGACCAGGCGATGGGTGGTCTGACCTAGTGGTCAGAGCGGGAGTCGGGAGCCAGGCAAGGTCAGATACTAGGAGATCAGAGTCTGAGAGAGGGCAAACTGACAGGTGCCAGGAGGCAGGCAGGGTCAGGTTACCAGGAGATCAGAGTCAGGCAGTAGAAGCAGGTAGTACAAGGGAAATAGTCTTAAGCAGAGCCAACCCAGCTGCATGGACAATTTCCTGTTCCTGTGCTGTTTAAATACAAGCAAGGACACAGTCAGGACCCCCAGAGTTCCGCCAGTCAGATCCCAGGACTGGAGTCCTCTGTCAGAGTTCAGCTTCTAGTTCTGAGGACTGTTAGCAGTCACTGGGTGGCATGTCTGAACTTACTGGTGCCTAAGAGCCCTATGGACCAACGTTCAAGACCTGTGGTCCCTGACAACGATTTACCAAGGGTCATGGTGGATTCTCTATCACTGGCCATTTTTAAATTGAGATAGGATGTTTTTCTAAAAGATCTGCTCTAGGAATTATTTGGATCTTCTCTATGGCCTGTGTTACACAGGAAGTCAGACTAGATGACCACAATGGTCCCTTCTGGCCTTGGAATCTATGAGGAGCTGGGCCTTAGTGCTCACCTGGCATGGTCCCACCGCAAGCGCAGCGAGTAGCTTTCTGGCCTCCGCTAGAGCAGAACGTGCAACAATGAAACACACCCTGGTGTTTGCGGAATTTGTTCTTCACAGTCAGAGCGAATGGTGAGCCCTGCAGAGCAGAAGAGAACAGAGAGGCAATCGTGTGCCCAGCATACCCTGCTACTGTAGTAGGGCACTGGAGGGTGTCAAAAGTACCCAAATTAAAAAAAATTACTAGGGTGATGCTAGCAATTACAGACCAGTGAACCTGACTTTAATACCAAATCTGCTAGAGCAGAGGTTCTCAAACTGTGGTCCGTGAGCTCAATTCAGGTGGTCCGTGGATAGTTGCCTCTAAGGTGTGAGCACGAGAAAATGAAGGGCCACCCACCTAATTAGTGGAGCTGCACAGGCATGGCTCCACTAATTAGATACCTGGATCCTGGAGAAGACGCACAGGTAAGGTGAGGTGGTGGCCTTGGGGGGGAATACGGGGCAGGTGGGAGGGTACAGTGGGGTTAGAAGAGGGGTGCGGGGAATTTGGGACATGCAGGGCTGCGGCGGCCACAAAAAGAGGCAACTTTCCCCAGCTCCACGGCTGCAGCTGCCGGGGAGAGACGGCCCTCCTTCCCAGCCCCAGCTCTGTGGCTGCTGTGGCGGGGGAACGCCCCTCTCCTTCCCAACCCCAGCTCAGGGGCAGCTGCGGTGGGCGAGAGAGGGCACATCCATCGCATTAGAAAGGTAAGACTACTGATATGAAAATATGTGTTGTGTACTTTTATTTGTAGAACAAAAAAAGTTTAGTATTAAGTTTTTTTATAGAGAGCTTTTATCCAAAGAGCTTTACAATAGTTAGCTAATGGTACAAACAACATTTGGAAAGATCATTAAGTGGTCCGCTGAGACCCTCAGCAATTTTCAAGCGGTCCGCGAAAAAAAAATATGAGAACCACTGTGCCAGAGGAACAAAATGTGAAAGGGAAAAACCAGCATGACTTCCACAAACGAAAACCCAGCTTCTGCAATCTACTAGATTTTTTTGAGCAAGCCAAAATAGCAGATAAAGGAGAACTGATGATCGTTTGTTTGGGCTTTCAAAATCCCTTTGACAAAATCCCTCACAAAAGGCAATTAAAAACTTGGCAGTGATAATGGGTAGATAATTAGAAAGGGAATCAGCCAGGGCTGAGTGGGCAGCAGGAGGCAGACCAGGGAATCAGCAGCGGGGAGGTGCAATAGATCAGCGGGGAGCTTGGGTATCATGGGAGTTTTGAGAGAGGCCAAAGCAGGCTGCAGCAAAGTTGGAAGGGCCAGGATTGGAGTGCTTTCCAGGAGGCTGCAGGAGGATCCTTTATTGGGAGAGACCAGCAGGTGGGGGAATGATTTTAACTAGGTGCTGTGGGAATTGGGAAAAAAGCTGGTGCAAGGGATGAGTCAAGTTCCTCAGTTCCACTGGGAAGAACAGGGCATGCAGGTGGGGTACCGACGGAATAATTCCTATTACATAACAGAGAAGGAAGAAAGTGTCTGTGGTTAGAGCAGATGGAGCTAGGAGGTGCAGGGGTTACCTATGGGAATAGCTCACTGGGCTTGACTCACTATTGCCCTGCCCCTTATGCAAGTTCTCAAACTGTGGGTTGGGACCCTAAAGTGGGTTGCGACACCATTTTCATAGGGTTGCCAGGGCTGGCGTTAGACTTGCTGGGGCCCAGGGCCAAAGTCCAAGCCCCACCGCCTGGGGCCTAAGCCCAAGGCCCAAGCCCTGCTGCCCGGGGGCTTCAGCCCTGGGCAGCGGGGCTCAGGCTCCAGTCTCCCCACCTGGGCAGAAGCCTTTGGGCTTGGGGTTTGGCCCCCGCACCAGGGGCAGCAGGGCTCGGGCAAGCTCAGGTTTTGGTCTCCCCTCCTGGGGTCATGTAGTAATTTTTGTTGTCAGAAGGAGGTTGCGGTGCAATGAAGTTTGAGAACCCCTGAGCTACATCAATCACAGTGAGTTGTAAGGTTACCTGTACATGCTGCCCTTTGACACAGATGCAGACAGTGTATGTGCCCAGCTCCTCAGGGATGTAGGAAATGTGGTAAGTCCCATCCCTCTTATCACACACGCTGGGCTTGATTATACTATAAATACAAAAAGAGAGGGAAACAAGGTCAGTAACTTGTAGAAAACTGATCTAATTGGTAATCACTTTGTGGATTAGATTTATAGGAAGCTTCTTACCCCGTGCCCCAGTTCGGGGATCTAAAATGTACATGTATAAAAGACCCCTGAATGATGATGCATGTGCCGTAGATTTCACACACATACCTGCTATCAGAGGCCACAGTACCATATGAAGGAGATCAAAGAAAGTCAGTTATACTGCAATGATTTGCAACAACCCAGTGAGTACTGAAAGAGGAGAAGCAGAAAAACTGTAGCAGAGGGAGGAAGACAGATGCAATGTCAGAGCATCCTCTGGATTTCAGACAGGAGTCTTCTCTTTCCTACTTCATGGATGCAAGAGGAAGTGGCAAAGCTCTTGACCTTAAGAAGGAAAACTTAAGCTTTTTCAGTTCCTACGGGCAAAGGCTAAAGACCAGTTCTCACTCTTACTAGTGAGCCTGGAAAGCAGCAGGGCCAGTCCAAAAGATTGTGCATATGTTGCAAGCTGTATCCACTGCAAGTTCTCACAATAAAAAACCCTGCTCAGAGCTGTATCATCACAGTCCTTGGAAACATGGGCCACACAGGAAAGGATGGAGACATCAGTATGGAAAAGCTGAAGCTTTCATTGAGGAGACCACACCACTCTTCTCCCTGACAAGCATTCACTGTTCCACTCAGTCATGGATGTAATGTACATCAGCACTGACATTACTTATTAAATCAGCAGGTCTGGATAATCTCTATCCATGAGTTTAAAAGAGTTGGCCGAAGAGCTCGCTAGACCATCAATGTTGATTTTCAATAAGTCTTGGAATATCAGGGAAGGTCCAGAAGACTGGAAGAAAGCTAATGTTGTTCCAATATTTAAAAAGAGTAAATAGGATGACATGGTTAATTATAAGCCTTTCAATATGACAGCGATCTCAGGCAAGATAATGGTACAGCTGATATAGGACTTGGTTAATAAAGAATTAAAGGAGGGTAATATAATTAATGCCAACCAACATGAATCTATGGAAAATAGATTCTGTCAAATTAACTTGACATATTTTTTGATGAAATTACAAGTTTGGTTGATAAAGGTAATAGCGTTGATGTAATATATTTAGACTTCTGTAAGGCATTTGACTTGGTACAACATGACATTTTGAACAAAAACTGGAAAGATGTAAAATGAACATGGCACACATTAAATGGATTAAAACCAGGCTAATTGATAGGTCTCAAAATGTATAAACAGGGAATCATCCTCAAACAGGTGTGTTTCTAACAAGGTCCTGCCACAATCAGTTCTTGACCCTACGCTATAACATTTTTATTAATAACCCAGAGGAAAACATAAAATTATCCCTGATAAAGTTTGCAGATGACACAAAAATTGGGGGAGTGGTAAATAAGGAAGAGGACAGGTCACTGATATAGAGTGCTCTGCATTGCTTAGTAAGCTGGCACAAGCAAACAATGTGTTTTAATACAACTAAGTGTAAATATAAATCCTACATCAAGGATGTAAAGAATGTAGCCCATACTTACTTGATGGGGGACTCTGTCTGGGGAAGCAGTGGCTCTGAAAAAGATTTGGGGGCCGTGGTGGATAATCAGCTCAACGTGAGCTCCCACTGTGGCAAAAAGGGCTAATGCAATCTTTGAATGCATAAACAGGGGAATATTGAGCAGGAGTAGAGGTTATTTTACCTCTATATTTGGCACTGGTGCAATTGCTGCTGGAATACTATATCCAGTTCTGATCTCTCCAATTCAAGGAGGATGTTAATTAAACTGGAAAGAGTTCAGAAAAGAGACCTGACAATGATTAGAGGATTAGAAAACATGCCAGATAGTAACAGATTCGAAGAGCTCAATCTATTTATCTTAACAAAGAGAAGGTGAAGGCGTGATTCAATTACAGTCTGTAAGAATCTACATGGGGAACAAATATTTAATAAAGAACACTTCAATCTTGCAGTGAAATAACACAATCCAATGGCTGGAAGTTGAAGCTAGACAAAATCTGACTGGAAATAAGGTGCAAATTTTTAAATGAGACTAATTAGTCAATTTAACAAGGATTGTGGTCGATTCTCTATCACTGACAATTTTTAAATCAAGATTGGATATTTTTCCAAAAGATCTGCTCTAGGAATTATTTTAGGGAAGTTCTATGGCCTGTGTTATACAGGAGGTCAGACTAGATGATCACAATGGTCCCTTCTGGTCTTGGAATCTCTGAATCTATTAATTTTCTCAGACCATGCTCTTGTAAGGATCATTTCACTCTGCAGAACTGTCCCCCAGTCCCTGGGACAGCAAGGCACATGCTGTCTCAGTGGGATTGCCAGCAACTCTATTTGCATCTGATATCTGAGTGGTGGCACGGCAGTGCATCATTCATGAGACATATGGGCCCAGTTAAACTGGTACACTCTTGCTGCTTTGTGACACTCTGCAGTTAATCTGGTTTTACAGCTGTTTTGAATCACTGAAGTGGCAACAAAGCAGCCAGAGTAAACATTTAAATCAGACTCTACAACTACTACTACCATCTCAACATGGAAGAGAGAAACTGGGAGAAGAATTGGGGAAGGGAGCCAAGGAAGGGAGGGGACAAAGACGGAGAGGAGATCAGAGGAAAAATACAAGAGAAAAGGAAAGACATCTTATCCCATAAGGTCAGAGGCATTGGAAACAGTGTCACTTCTCAGGGCATATCTACACTACAAAATTAAGTCGACCTACAGATGATGCTCTGACATTGCTGTCGACTTACAGCCACCACTCACTGTGGTGAGTCACAGCCCTCCTTCTGTCAGTGGTGTGCGTCCTCACCAGGAGCACTTCCACTGATTTAAGAGAGGCAATGTGGGGGGCTGAGAGCCCAGGCTCTCAGCTCTGTTTGGAGTTCCCAGCTTCTCCTCCCACTCTCAGCTCCTGCTCCCTGCCAGGAGCCTGGCTGTCTCCACCCTGCTCTCAGCTCCCCGCTACCCACTGGGAGTAGGGCAGCCATCCTGGCTCTCAGCTCCCTGCTGGGAGTGGGACAGCTGCCTCACCACCTCAATGGGGAGCTCCAAACCCAGAGCCTGGGCTCCCGGCGGGAAGTGAGGAGCCGGGCATGGGGAGCCAGGCAGCAGCCCGGCTGGGAATGGGGAGTTGGGACCCAGGGAGTCTGGGCAGCAGCCCGGCTGGGAGTGGGGAGTCCCCACCTGCCGCAGGGTGACAGCCCTGTGAGCGGTTTTCTTGTCAATTTCATAGCACTAGCATGGAGCTATGAAATTGACAAGAATTTTAGCCAACAGCCATGTAAGTAAGGCAATGTCTACACAGACACTGCATCACCCCAACTACACGACATAAGCCTTATGGCTCTCATGGAGGTGGAGTCATTATGTCAGCGTAGTAGGGCACTTACATCGGCAGGAGCAAGGCTGCAGTGTAGTCACTGACATAATTGGATTGCTGTAAGCCACCTTACATCAACTTAACTCTGTAGTATAGACCAGGCCTCAGTCTCAGAGAGTAGCTGCTTGCAGAAAAGCCAGTTAGGAAGCAGCAGGCACAAGAAGGGCAGAGGGCTGAGTCATCTAACTTAAGAACCAAGATGTGGCCTATGACTCTTATCTTTAACATTGTGACCCTATTTTTGATCATTACTGGCAGGTTGTTCCTTTATGAAATTAACCCAATACTGGTTTCACAGGGAACCAAGGTGGCGAAAATCCCAGTGAAATCATGAGGTAGTCACATAGGAATTGCCATACGCAATCATACCTGTGGTCCAACTAGTCCAGTAGCCTGCCTCTGCTGGTGGCCAGTACTGTTCTGCTTTAAAGGAAGATGCAAGAAACTCAGCAGCAGGCAATTATGGAACAGCCTGCTCAGGGGAAAATTTCTTCCTAACCACCATTAATTAGAATTGATTGTGCCCTGAAGCATGACCATTTATAATCTTTCCGAAATCCTGGTTTGGTTTTCCCCTATTGGTTTGACCGAATACAGTCGCCTACCTCACTTCCTGTCATAAACTGTGTTATAAGTGTTGCTTTATGTTACTACATAGCTGCTATGTCTCACCCTAGGGGTGACTGGATTTCGGCAGTGGATGAAGTGATCATATATACACAGAAATGAAAAATCACGCTAATGTGACTTCAGCCACCTCTGTCCCCAGACAAAATTACTCCCCTCTCTCCCCTCTAAGCATTGTGGTATACACATCTCATTCATCCTGATTGATGCAGAGTGCAGGAGGAAGGACTGGAGACGTGTCCTCTGACAGTGCTCCTTGATCAACAGATAGCTACGTATGTAGTGTTGTTTTCCTATCCTTTATCTGATTTTTGACTATGCTGCAACTGTTGTGGTGTTGCTCTGTATCAAGGCATAAACCCCATCACAGACTATATATGGCAAAAGCTGGAGTCCTGAATGCTAACTGATCTTATTCTTCCCTATAACAGAGAGTTTTAGCATTATATTCTCTTCTACACCCAAACAATGGCCATGTTGGCAACTTGCCCTTGCTTGTACCTAACTTGCATAAAATGGAGCAGATTACATTCTTAAAGGTGACCCGCAAAAGCTTTTTTTAAATTGGACTTGTGCCCTTTCTTGCTGCTTTTTGATACCAAAGCTGGCCTCAAAGCATCTTTCAAAATAAATTTTTTGCTTGTGTTTTTGTTTTAGTAATACCTGGAATGTCAAGTTTGGGTTTCTCTGGTTTTCATGGTAGGCTTTCAAGCTTCCTTTGAGATCAGTCACCTTAACTGAAGGACAGAGATTACTGATGCCTGAACATAGGCATCCTTTATACCAAATGTTAATCACTCATTTAATTTAAATAGGTGTTAACAGAAACAAAAGTCTTCGTTCTCTGTTACCTTGGATCATGTGCAGACACCCAGTGTGCAGCAGGTGTAAAATGCTGCCAGATCAGAGTGATTTACACATACTATGCCTTTAAAAATGCCCAAATATTGTGATAAAATCATGAGGTGGTAGCTCTGTTTTAGAGCTCCATAAGGGCTGCATTTGGGCCCACAGCTCTTGGGTGAAGCACCATTGTGCTATTCTCCCTGTAAGTCCTGGCCTGCCCATGGAAGCTCTTTACTTACAGGGGACTGCAAACATGGAGGTACATACAGACAGAGATGAGGAAGCCTGTAGCAGAGATTTTAAAGCAAGACAGAAGGCAAACAAAACCATTCTGGCCATCCCAGGGAAGGTACCAACCAGTCCTTCTTGTCTTTGTGGATGATCATGACCCGGATGGGCTCTCCTCCTTTCCCCATCTGCTCTCCCGATGCATCATTACACAGCAAAGTAAAGCTGGCCAGCTGCTTCTGACGGGCACTGTGGAGATCTGAAAGACAGAGCAAACTGTCCCGTACTGTTCCAGACAGGACTGAGGAGAGACACACTTGACATCAGCCAGCAGCTTTCCAACACCCGCACTGTACTTCACTCTGTCTAACCAGGATTTTATAAGGTTCCCCTTCGCTGAGCCCCCTCCATGAAAAGTAAAACCAAACACATTGCTAGTGTCCTGCTGGCCAAGTCCTCCCACAGATGGCAAGTGTGCCTTGATTGGACGGTGCAGCTCAGAAGTGGGCTGCACGCTCCTTTGCAGTCCCTTGTTTTGTGAGTTCGGCTGGCGATTGTTTCAGTCCTCAGAACAAGCGCAGCTCTAATTTAGGCTCAGCTCTGAAGTGAACACGGTGACAGCTGAAAAGAGCCAGAGTGCAAGGACACTCCAGCCTCATCCCCTTACCCAGCTACACCCCCAATACACACCCTGCGGATACAGAGCCATTCCACTGGCTCTACAGAAGCAGGATTTCCCCCGTGAAATGGAGATATTCTCCAAGGGCTGGTTCCACTGGTTTTCCAGTCCCTTAGGGCCACTGTTGGTGTAAAGGGGCTGCAGCAGAGACCAGGGCTTTTGGTGTGAGCTGCCTCTATAGGATGCTGGCCTTGCACACGAGTGGCTTTTTGATTGCAAAGGGCTGGGACAGCCATGGTTCTTTCCCTCCCTTTCCCTGACAGAGTTCGTATGTTACAGCTCACAGGCAAGAGAGGATCCTAGACTAAGGAACACAACCCCGGACTTACCAGTGTAAAATGATCACCAGTCTGCTTCAGGAAAGAAATAGCAGTTATTTCTTCTTTTAAAAAGCAGTGACACTAGAGATGTACAGTGAAATAAATCTATAGGATAGGGATAGCCTAACTGCTGTCCAGGGCCCAGTACAGTCCCCTTCCCCCTCTTTAACATGGAGGTGGAGACTGCAGATGATATGTCCCATCGTGCAATGTGACCTTCTACTTCGATCAAGACAGAGCATTGCATACTGGGAGCTGTCATCTTGGCAGGCCTCACTTCCAATTGTAGTCAATATGGAAGTGGCAGAATGGGACAAGGAACCTTCCTTCTTAAATCTAGCCCAGGCTATGAGTGACCCAAAGTTAGTGCTATCTGACAGATGCTCAGTGGCCTGCATGAAATGCATCTGACAGTCTCACAAAGTTCTTGGTGGACAGTTGTCTACATTACAATATGCACTAACTGGTCCCCACTGTGGTCAGTTTCAGCAGAGGCCAACGACTACATGTATCAGGGAGACTGAACTACTTGCTCAGCCACAGAGTTGGTCTATCCAGTTCAGAGATGAGGGACAATGACAAGAAGCAATGGGAAAGAAGTTTTACCTACTATTGCATGCCCTGTACCTATTCTGGATTAACTATGGTCTTTGGTCTCTAGGGCTGCCCCCAGGGTGGTTATGCACACCCTCAGTTAAGGAATGACATCTATAATAGGATTTTGTAGGGTTCACCCCAATCCCTCCCACTTTTATTTTATCATTGGTCAATCAGAATCAAGTTGTCCCCATACCTTCCCCTTGCAGGACACATTTGGCTGGATCAACTGCCTTATTGAGAATGGTCCCAAAAACCTCATAGCCACAGCACTGGCCAGCCTTCTCATGGGGAGAGAACTGGATCCCATCTTCCACTCCAGGGTGGATGCTATAATCCACGTTATTCAGCTTTCTCAGCCGGTTTGCCACCACCCCCTTGGTGATAAGGATCTCCAAGTCTGAGCCACTGGTCAGCAGGCGCTCAGTGAACTCCACCCCAGTCCTCATGTCCATCAGCAGCTGCTCCAGCTGTGCCTTCTGTAAGTGCAACAGGGTCTCCTTTTGCACCTTCAAGTCTTCCAGCTGCTTCAGCAGCCGGTCCCGGTGTTCTTCAATAGCCCTTATGTATCCGTCTGCAAATGTGCGGATCTCCCCAGCCACTGCCTCCACATGACTGCAGATGGCATTGCTGACTCCTTCAATATGGCGTAGGGCCCCTTCTAGGGTGTCCACGTGCAGCTGGGTGCTCTTGAGGAGGTCCCGCATGGAATCTCCGTGTTTGTGGATGACAGTGGCAGTAAAGGCATATGGATGATGCCGGTGCTCGCCCACCACACAATCCCGGCACACAGGCTGCTCACACTGCTCACAGAACAGTGTCAGGTCTTCTGAAGGGTGGGAAGGACATAGAATGGACTTCTCAGTCCGGCTGTAGCCCTTCAGGTCCTCTAGATCCACCACAGCATGGGAAGCTGTTTTCTTCTGTCTCCTAGAAGGAAGTATAAGAGATAAATCTGGGCTTGCAACATGTGATCTGCAGATTCCTACAGAGCAGTCGATGACCCCCTCACACACTGTGACCTGCATGGACCACAAGCCACAACATATGATACTCCAGACTGATTTAATCTCCTTGAGTCACACCTCCACATGAAAGATGACATCATCTACAACCTGCCCCCACTTTGTGCTAATTAGCAGCTGCTCTCTGGCTCCCTGCATGCTGACAATGCTGTTCTCAGATGGGAGAATGTTATACAAGGACCAGGGGGGGCAGCTGTCACACCATTAGTACAGGTAGTCTCTCTTTACAGAGCCTGCCAGAAGCAGGGTAGCTGCAAGGACCCCAGAGCCCACTGTGATGAGTGCAGCAGGAAGATGGTGGGTGCCACCAGGTGAGGGCTGGCAGGCAGCAGCATGGAGTAAGTTTGCTGAGCCACTGCCTCTTCCGTGAATGACTAGGGGATGTCAGGCTCCTTACCTGTCAATCTGTCTCTTTTTACCCGCCTTTTATTCACTCAAACAAAAACTCGTATACCCTTGAAGGGAAGATGGGAGATCAGGACCAGGCAAGAGTCAAACAAGGACCTATGGTAAGATACTAAATATTCTTAAATCCAAATGCCATCTCTCTTCTAGACTCAGGGCTTGTTCCTGCTTAGCACAGCTGAGGTGGGGGCAGGGCAGAAAGCTCCTGGGGCCATCCAGCTGCCAGGCCAGTACCAAACATACAGCAAAGCAGTCTCAAGGTTGTTCTATTTTACGTTGCCTGCCAACAGCCCCCAGGGGACATTTAGCAGCTGGGGGATCCACAGGGCATTAGGGACTCCTAACCATGCCTCCTTCCACTGGCCATACCCCCTACACCAAAGGGTGAGTGTCTGAGGAGGGGCAGGATATGCTAAGATGGCTCTATACCAGCCAAGGATTCTCCCATGCAGGGGAAATCCTGCAGGAGACAGTAAGATAGCTCAAGAGCTGCTTTACACCACCTGAGCAGCACAAAACCGCCACAGGGCAGAGCAGGGCGCTCTCAGACTTCTCCTTTTGCCTCATTCTTTGAACTCTTCTCTTGCTCTCACTTGTGTTATGTCTGCACAGCTACCTTGTGCCATTTCTGTAACACTCCCTGGATGTCACCTCTGCTGAAATCCCACACCGGTACACCAAGCAGCATGACAACAGCACTCCCATGTTCACAAAACTCCATTGGCTCCTGATGACCCAGTTCCCAGTGGTCCTCCTTGGGCCTGATCTCACACCAGTATAGATCGGGAGCAGCTTCACTGATATAATGGAGTGACCTCAGTGTAAAAGTGATATCAGTAGATGAGACTGGAGTCAGGCCCCTTAGGCTGGATTCTTTACTGCCTTGCACCTTGGTCCTTGGATGGCTATTTATATCAGTATGAAAAGCTGCCATTCTGGGGCTCAATTCCTTGCTGTCCAGCATCTTGTGTAGTCAAATTTGGTGTAAGAGGTTACCCAGGTAGAGTAGTAACATTTTGCCCTGGTGTAACTGATTGTACAAAGTGCAGGGCGACTGGGAATCAAGACCCTGCTGCACAGGTATAAGTGTCTACACATGGGCGAGGCAGTAGAGAAGCTAGCCTGATTCTTGGTAATGCAAAGGACTCTTTGAAGCATTCTGACAATGTTGGAGGGCACTAAACAAGGAGGAAACAGGCCCAGAGCACTACCCCAGCCAGAGGACTTCCCTGGCCAGTCTAGAGCTGCCAAAATGGCTCTAAACCAAGTCCTTTTCCAGTCCCCACCAACCATGTATATATTCCAGCTAGCCTCACAGATCTCATCTCTTTTCTCCTCTAGCACTGCACTTCTTTGTCTCCTCACACAGTCACACCACTATTGATGCAAGAACCTCCTCTGCAGCACCTACATCTGTAGCAGCCACCCTGTACTTCTGCCTCATCATCTCTTCAGCTCTTTTCAAACCTCACCTGGAAACACCCCCCCGCTGACACCTCTTCAATTTTCACTCACTCTACTGCAGCTTCATTCTACAACTGCCTTAAATGCTGTAAAGCAAAGGGAAATTTGCTTGTGTTACAGCTACTGGCTGCCTGGCTTGCAGGGCGCTATGAGGATACGTTCATGAATGTTTGTGGACACTCAGATGGAACAGTTTCAGGAGCAGTATATACATGGACAGAGTTGACTGGAAGTAAGCCGTGTAGTTACGCTAACATCAGGATTTGCCCAACACTACCCTTTTCTCTTTAGGGCTGAAATTTTCCACACCAGTTCTCAAATTCACCCAGAAGTAACTTTTAAACATACACACAAACAATTATTGCTTTAAAAATTGCCTCTTTGCAGGCAACCTCAGTAGACAGGCCAAGGGCTGAAGGCCCAATGGAGGCTGAACTGCCCTCTCTCCTCTCGAGCTGGGGTCCCTCCAGAACAGGACTGGATAAGCAGGGAGTTTGCACTGCCACTGCCCTGGCTATACCTGCTCTGGGAACAGCAGGTTTCAGTCTCCAGGGCTGTCAATCTCTTATTTTTCTGCTGCACTACATTCACTTAAATGTAAAATAAACAAATGTCTGTTGGAGCATCTACCAAAGTTTGGACTTATTGACCGGTGGATGGTGTCTCTGGACCAGATCAGCCTAGGTAGATGAGTGCAGCTCTCCCACACGGTCCACTCTGTTGTTTGTCCCCACCTGGGCTATGAGGAGGAAGAGAATGTGTGGGCAGGCTCCTGACAGCCGTGGCCACAATGGGCGAGGCACTGTACGATTTTCACAGTTGTTCACTAATTTGGGTGTTTCAATATTTGGGGCCCACCTGAGACATCCACGGCCTGATTTCCAAGGATGCTGAGCAACCACACCTCCCATTCACTTCCTTTAGAGTGGTGGGTGCTCAACACTTCCAAAAATCAGGCTCAAATCAGACACTGAACACCTAAGTGGACACTTCTGGCCTAATTGGTTACCATGCATGCATGGACAGGTGGCACCGTATATATAGTACATATACTTGTGTAAGACCAGAAACAGCAATGGAGTCTTCATGCCTGGAAGGGCTTAGTTACACATCTGCTCTCTGCCTCTGGTGCTTCCTCCCATACCTGTGAGCCTGGTAGCAGAAGTGGCAGAGATTGGCTTTGCAGGTGGGACAGTGCTTCACGGCTTCCCCATCCACACAGAGGTCACACAGCATTCCTGGGCCTTGCGCCTGCAGGGTCTCCAGTAACACCTCATTCATGGCCAGGTGGTCAGTGGTCAAGTCATTAATGCCGCCTGGTGGCAAATCCACCTCTGTGTCACAGACAGGACAAAGGACGCTGAGCAGTGGTTGATGATGATCCTGGAGCCACGACCCATCTGAGGTAGAGTCTGAATCCTCCGCCTGGAAGCCGAGCACTGAAAAGGGTTCCAGCTGCTCAAGACAGGCCATGCAAAACGTGTGTAGGCAGGGCAGGATTTTGGGGGCCAAGAAGAGCTCTGTGCACAACGGGCACCTAGTTCTGGCTAGGCCCCTGACCTCACCAGGGATTTCGGACATGATTCCAAACTGCCGCTGCTGCTCTTGTGGGTCGGACATCTTCTGAAATTCAAATTATGGAATGAAAATAAAATCCAATCCATGCAATTTATGTACAAAAAGTGCCAGGGCTGCCATGAAAGGGTCCAGCATGGCCCCGAGAGAACCCCTCTCACAGCATGGATGGGGCCTGCTCTAGTGACCCTTTCCAAGCATCCCAGTGCAAGTGAGGGGGGCACTTTCACAGCATCTCCACCAGGTGGGGGAAATGGAGTCGCTCTAGGGGGAGACAGGCACTCTCGTGGTGCCACTGTCAGGTAGGGGATATGGGGTCACTCTCGCAGCATCGCTGTTGGGTGGGGGTACATGGAGCACTCTGGGGATATGGGGGCACTTTTGGGCAGGATGTATGGGAGGTGTTTTTGGGTGGGAGCTATGGGGAGCACTCTCACGGTGTCACTATCGAGTGTACAGGGTTGCTCTCACCGTGTTACTGTCAAGTGCACAGGAGGTGCTCTCAGTGGGCACTCCTCTGCCATCACTACCAGGTGGTGGTTAGGGGAGCATTATCAGGAGGCATAGGGATGTTCTCAGCAGGGGGGTTGAGGATGCTCCAAGGGGGCATGGGAGGTGCTCTTGGGTGGGGGGTGCAGCCAGCGCACTGTCAAGCCAGGATATGGAGTTGCTCTCGCAGCATCGCTATTGGATGGTGGGGGTACAAGGACTGTCTCGTGGCATTGCTGCCGGGTGTGGTGCTGTCAGGCGAGGCGGTATGGGGGGATCTCCCAGTGTCGCAGTTGGGCATGGGGTATGGAGCCCTTCTTGGGGGAGGCACAGAGGATGCTCTCACGGTGTCGCTGTTGGGCAGGGGGCACGCTAGGGTGGGGGTATGATGCACTCTCAGGAGGGGGTATGGGGCGCTCACAGAGCAGGAACAGGGGCGCTCCCGAGGGCGGGGTGCCGAGGCGCTGTCGGGGGAGGGGGGCCATTCTCAGGGTCACGGGACACTCTCGGAGGATACCGGGGGTGCTCTGCTCCCGCCTGCCCCGCGCTGTGAGCTGGGGAGGGGAGGGGGACAGTGGCTGAGTCCGGCCCCTCTCACAGGCCGCCCGCCCCCAGCCCCGGAGCGCAACTTACCCAGCAGCGCCAAGGCCGCGCGGCATGAGCAGGGCCCGGGGGTCCAGTCTCCGCTCGCAGCCCCGGCGCAACCCAACTCAGCCACCCCGCAGCCCCCGGGCCAGTCCCTGCTCCGCCCGCCGTTGTCCGGTCTGGGAAGCGCCAGCCCCGTGTCTGCCCCAATGCCCCCCCCCCCTTTACCTCTCTGCAGCGGGAGCCCTTGGGGCCCCCTCAGGCGCCCGCCCCAGGAGTCTCGGGGGAAATCGCGCCGCGGCCCCACTTGTGGCAGGACCTTGAGCAAAGTCATGGGGACGCTGCGGGCCTCCGCGCGCTCAGCTGGGAGAGGCGGGCCGGGGGCTCTCCGGGAAGCTGGCACCTGCGCGGAGCTTCCCAGGGGAAGCGGCGCTGCCTGCAGGGCGAGCCGGCTCGGTGCCAGCCCCACGAGCTAGCGACATTTGCCCTGGGGAGACACCCAGGGACCCCCACGCAGATACCGCCCTCCCCGGGCACAGCTTCTCCGGGCGCCAAGGGCAGAGCCACCCTGCCGGGCCAGCAGGAGATCGGTATTAGCCGTACCCCGGAGACCCCAGGCACGGGGTTGCTGGGTTAAAGCTGGGCCGATGCCAGTCCTTCCCCAAGGAGCTGACAGCACAAACACAGTTCAGGGGCTGCTTTGCAGAGCTGTATACAGGGCGGGATTTAGGGGCAGGCAATCCAGGACTACCGCTTGCGGGGCGCCTGACTCGGGGTACTGCATAGGTGCTGGAACTAGGGGTGCTGGGGTTACTGCTGTGCACCCCCTGGCTTGAAGTGGGTCCCATCATATACAGGCTTTACAGTTGGGTTAATGGCTCTCAGCTCCCCCACTATGCAAATTGTTCCAGCGTCCCTGGGGTGTTGTAAGGTATTCAAAAGTTTAGCAAATGGGGAGGGGGGAGGTGAATAAATGGACACAAATCAGACGACAATAATTATAATATTCAAAAACCAGTGGAGAACACTTCAACCTCCCTGGTCACTCGATTACAGACCTCAAAGTCGCAATACTCAAACAAAAAAAACTTCAAAAACAGACTCCAATGAGAAACTGCAGAATTAGAATTAATTTACAAACTTGACACCATTAAATTAGGCCTGAATAAAGACTGGGAGTGGATGGGTCATTACACAAAGTAAAACCTATTTCCCCATGCTAATTTTTCCCCTACTGTTACTCACACCTTCTAATCAACTGTTTGAAATGGGCCATCCTGATTATCACTACGAAGGTTTTTTTTCTCCTGCTGATAACAGCCCACCTTAATTGATTAGTCTCCTTAGAGGTGGTATGGCAACAGCCCACGAAAGCTTATGCTCAAATAAATTGGTTAGTCTCTAAGGTGCCACAAGTACTCATTCTTTTTCCTCACATCGGAGTATCTCATAGCCCTGTAGCTAGGGCACGCACCCAAACGGTGGCAGAGCCCTGTTCAAATCCCTTTTCACACTCAGGTGGAGGGAAGACTTGAACTGGGGAGTCTTCCACCTTCCAGGTGAGTGCCCCAACCACTGGGCTAAAAGTTTTGAGGAAGCCCCTCCTTCTCTTTCCTCACCACCCCACCTCCCAACCTCTTTTGTGTGAACTCCATCTGAGCATGCCTATTGGATCAGGCTCACCTGTGATCTAGGGGGTCGAATACCTATCTTCTCCCGGTTTGTGAATGACTCTGGGGCTTCGGTGGAAGAAAGGTGCCTGGGTACCTGGAGTGAGGCAGCAGTGTGCATGCCCACATGCAGAAACATAAGCACTCAGGGAATTTTTAATGCAAAAACATAGGCGCCAAGTCACTTTTAGTATCAGAGGGGTAGCCGTGTTAGTCTTGATCTGTAAAAGCAGCAGAGTCCTGTGGCACCTTATAGAGCATGAAATTTCGTGGGTGAATACCCACTTCGTCAGATGCAAGTCAGATTTAGGCGCCTATAGGGCTTGGCAGAAGTTTTGTGCATCACACTGGTCCCAAAAATGGGACTTAGGCACCTAACTCCTTTTATGCATTCAGGCCCTGACCATTTATTTTGGTGCTAGAACAGACCCCTGGGATAACCCATTCATCTGTTTTTTCCAAGTACTTGTTTTCTCACCCACATGCATCCTGAACCATCTGTCTTGGAGTAGCAGTTCAATGGCATCCATAACCCATGGGGGAGGACTCTTGACATTTTAACAAGTAGACCTGTGTGCCATACCATATCATATGCTGCAGTGAGGCCAAGGAAAATAGTGCCTCTTTTCAGGTTTCTTTGAAAACTGTTTTCAAAAATGGGGTTAGTGCAAGTACTTTGTCACATGTGCTTCAACCTTGTGAAACGCCTGCTTGCTCCACATTCAACCGGTTCTCCACTTCTGGTGTTATTCGCTGTAAAATTAGGCGGTCTAGAACCTTGAGACACTCAGAAAGCAGCGATATTGGGCAGTAGCTTGATACCTGGTTTCGGTCTTTACCAGGTTTTGGCAGGCTGATGACTTTTGACATACGCCAGATTTTCGGCAGTCTTCCTTCATTGGTGACCCTTGTGAAGAATTGAGCGAGCCAAGAGCAGGCGCATGGCCAAGATGTTTCAGGAGCTCTGGAAGGATGTTGTCATAGCCAGCAGAAGTGCTCAGGCACTGTGAAAGGGTCAGGGCAAGCTCTGGATTTGTGCTGCTTGCGGAAGACCCTTCACTTGCTCTGGACTCGACTCTTCACTTCTTTTTCCAGGGTTGTCTTTTCCATATGAAGGAGGTGACTGGCTACTTGGTTAGCGCTCACACATGATCAGCTTGGTGTCAGTGGTTGCTGGGCTACTTCAAGGCGACAAAGTAAACTCCAGCATTTTTGGCTGGAACAAGTAAAGTCCAGGTTCTTGGTCTTTTCCTCCCATCTGGCTTGACAAGCACAGCTCAAAACTTCGACTAAGTGGTTGGCCGCGTCCAGGTCACTGGTTGACTCATACTGCTTGAGTAGAGCGGCACACTCTTCTTCAAGGCAGGGGATGTACACAGGGTGATAGCCAGGTGGAATGGCTCTGGTGGCTGCTTTGTAGATGGCTTTGTAGATGGCTCTACAGAAACGCCAGTAAGCCTGCTCTGTTGGGATGTGGTGGGGCAGTATTGTTACGACACTCCATTCTAGTGTCTTGCTGTATTTCTCCCAGTTGGCTTTGTGCAGGTTCCACCGCTGCTGCTTTGTGCTCGTGACAGTTGGTAGCCGAAGACCAATATGGATCAGTGACTGTCTGTGCTGACTGTGTGGAAAGTTGTGCAAGACTTGACATGATGCTGAATGTGGGTTGCTGTGTACTGAACTAACCCAACATATGTCAGGTGAGTAGATGCAGTTCCATCTAGGGATTTGTCAGGAACAAATCATGCCAAACCAATCTGATTTCCTTTTTTGACAAGTTTACTGGCCTAGTAGATAGTGGGGAAGCTATAGACATGATATATCTTGATTTTACTTTTGATTGAGTTCCATGTGGCATTTCCAGAAGCAAATTAGGGAAATGTGGCCTATATGAAATTACTACAAAATGGGTGCACAACTGGTTGGAAGACAGTACTCAAAGAGTAGTTATCATTGGTTCGCTATCAAACTGGGAGGCCATATCAAGTGGGGTCCCACAAGGGTCTGTCCTGGATCTGGTACTATTCCATATTTTCGTTAATGGCTTGGATGATGGAGTAGAGAATCTGCTTATAAAAGTTGCAGGTGACAACAAGCTGGGAGGAGTTGCAAGCATTTTGGAGGACTGGATTAGAATCCAAATGATCTTGATAAATGGAGAATTAGTCTGAAATCAATAAAATGAAATTAAATAAAGACAAGGTGTCATGAACATACAGCTAAGGGTGGCATAAAATCCCTCCTTTACCTGTAAAGGGTTAAGAAGCTCAAATAACCTGGTTGGCACCTGACCAAAAGGACCAATAAGGGGAGAAGATACTTTCAAATCTATGGGGGAAGGTTTTTTGCTTTGTGTTGTGTGTGTTGTTGTTCTCTCCGAGACAAAGAGAGAGACCAAGCAAGTAATCCAGTTCCTACTGAAATGATACATCTAATATTACAGAAATAGTAAGTAATAGCAAGGAAATGCGTTAGATTATCTTTTGTTTTAGCTTATGAATTTTCTTGCAGGACTTAACTAATCTGCCTCCAGGCAAAGAAAAAAACCCTCCAGCTGTTCTCATCTAAAAAAAAAAAATGTCCTTTAAAAAAAAAACCTTCCTGGCTTTCAAGCAGCCAAAAGAAAAAACGAAATGTCCTTTTAATATCCTGAGGTCTGTGCTTCTGGTTCAAAATGATCCCACCGTGCTGCCACCATGTCAAGGTTCCCTCCCCACTCTGAACTCTGGGGTACGGATGTAGGGACCCGCATGAAAGACCCCCTAAGTTTATATTCAACCTGCTTAGGTTAAAAACTTCCCCAAGGCACAAATTCCTTGTCCTTGGATGGTATCGCTGCCACCACCAAGTGAGTTAGACAAAGATTCAGGAAAAGGACCACTTGGAGTTCCTGTTTCCCCAAAATATCCCTCCCAAGTCCCTTCACCCCCTTTCCTGGGGAGGCTTGAGAATAATATACCAACCAAATAGGTAAACAAGGTGAGCACAGACCAGACCCTTGGGTTTTTAGGACCCTAAAAACCCAATCAGATTCTTAAAAACAGAACTTTATTATAAAGAAAAAAGTAAAAGAAGCACCTCTGTAAAATCAGGATGGAAGGTAATTTTACAGGGTAATAAGATATAAAACACCGAGGATCCCCCTCGAGGCAAAACTTTAAAGTTACAAAAAACAGGAATAAACCTCCCTCTTAGCATAGGGAAAATTCACAAGCTAAAACAAAAGATAATCTAACTCATTTCCTTGCTATTACTTACTATTTCTGTAATATTAGATGTATCATTTCAATAGGAGCTGGATTACTTGCTTGGTCTCTCTCTTTGACACAAGAGCAAAGTCATACATTTAGGAAGGAAAAATCAAATGCACAAATACAAAATGGGGAATAATTGGCTAAGCAGCAGTAATGCAGAAAAGGATCTGGGGGTTATAGTAAATCACAAATTGAATAGTAGCTAACAATGTGAAAAAGGCAAATGTCATTCTGGGGTGTATTAACAGAAGAGTTGTATGCAAGACATGGCAGGAAATTGTCCTGTTCTTCTCAGCACTGGTGAGGCCTCAGCTGGAGTACTGTGTCCTGTTCTGGGTGCCACACTTTAAGAAAGATGTGAACAAATTGAAGACTGTTATCATGCCCCCCCCCCCAGCCTTCTCTAGACTAATCATGGCCAGTTCTTTCAAGCTTTCCTCATAGGTCAGCTCTTCTAAACCTCTTGGCATATTTGTTGCCATCCTCTGAACTCTTTCCAAATATGTAAAAGGTTGTTATAAAGAGGACTGTGATCAATTGTTCTTCATGTCTACTAAGGTTAGGACAAGTAGTAATCGGTTTAATCTGCAGCAAGTGATATTTAGGTTAGATATTAGGAAAAACTTTCTACCCATAAGGGTAGTTAAGCACTG